AGAACAGGAAGGAAACAGGGAGTCACCACCTTTTTGTTTGAAATTATGACCCTGTTCTGAAAAGCATATAAAAGTCTAGAACAAGGATAAGGCAGCTGAGGCAATAGACAGAGTAAAACAAGGATGTGTCTCTCTCATCTAGTTTAATCGTCAAAACAGAGACCAGGGGTTTATTCATGCATTTTTGTAGTAAATAGTTCCTGGATAAAAAACAGCACTGGGCTTGGGACTAGTTACCAGAAACCAGGAATAACTGCCTACAGCTCCCTGTGTCTCCTTCCTTCTAGTTCACACCAGTGTCACACATTTGCCATGCTTTCCAAAAGGGCATAGATTCAACAACTGAGGTGATGAATGTTTCCTTTCCATTTTGCAGTCCTTCTGAGCACCTGGGATATTTTTCTGGGAGTTAGGAGGTGTTGACATAAATGCCTTTGAGCTAAAAGCCAATACTGTCATCACTGACGGTGTACTGAAGGTCAGCACTCTTCCAAATACAGCCAGACACTGAAGCTAGCTGTGGCTACAACAGCAGAACCTGACTTGTTGGGCTTGGAGAGGTTTCACTCAGCTGGACCTCTCTCGGAGCTGCTCTACCTACTTCCTAGGCCACAAATGGGCACAAAGGGGAGACAGGTACCAAGATGCCCAGTTTGGAGCAATTCTGAATATTTCTATCCAGAAACAGACTAACAGAGTTCAGGTGGCTGCTCAGTGGAGTTTTTCAGAACTGAACTTTTAGTTCACCCATAGTCTTTTCTTAGTCTTCAGTGTTTCAGGCCACATTTATATAGTTAAGTACTATATTTAAACAGTTAAGTATAAATGTAGTATAGTCAGAGGGTAGGCAAAGTGCAGCAGGACTTTTAAGTAGCCTGTAGTCACAGCCCAGCTTTTCTCAAAGTAACCCACCCTTCAGCATAAACCTATTCCAAAGGCTTTCTGCATGAAAGATTTGGTCTCCTAAGAAGCAGCCAGTGACTAACTTACCCATCCCTGCTGCATTTGGGACCTCTAAGGAGGCAGGGTGGCAGAGTTTGGTGCAAATGTACACCTGCAACACATAATAGGCCAGAGCACATGCTAAATGTACAAACACATGCTCAGAAGTAAAACAAGGCCACCTTTTCTCCCACATAAAATCATAGAATGGTTTGGGTTGGAAGGGACCTTAAAGATCACCTTGTTCCAAACCCCCTGCCGTGGGCAGGGACACCTTCCACTACACCGGGCTGCTCAAAGACCCCATGCAACCCAGCCTTGAACACTTCCAGGGATGGGGCATCCACAACATCAAGAGTTTCTTCCTAATACCTCATCTAAACCTAGCTTCTTTCAGATTAGAGCCATTCCCCCTTGTGCCATTGTGAGGTATTCCATCGCTATGTGCCTCTGTTAAAAGTCCCTCTCTAGCTTTAGGTACTGGAAGGTGCTGTAAGGCCTCCTCAAAGCCTTCTCTTCTCCAGGCTAAACAACGCTCAGACTAAACTCCAGGCTAAACTGTCTCAGACTGTATTCATAGAACAGGTGCTCCAGCTTCCTCTGATCATCTTCAAGGCCTTCCTGTGGACTCACCACAACAGGTGCACATCCTTCTTATGCTGGGGACCACAGAGCTGGACACAGCACTCCAGGTGGGGTCTCACAAGAGCAGAGTAGAGGGGCAGTATCACCTCCCCTGAACCTGCTGGCCACACTTCTCTTGATGCAGCCCAAGAACACAGTTGGGTTTCTGGGCTGTGAGCACACACTGCCAGTTCATGCTGAGCTTCTCATCTACCAGGAGCCCCAAGTTCTTCTCCTCAGGGCTGCTCTCAACACATTCTCCATCCAGCCTATATTTTTCCTTGGGATACCCTGACCCATATGTAGGATCTTGCACTTGGCCTTGTTGAACTTCAAGAGGTTCACACAGTCCCACCTCTCAAGCCTGTCAAGGTCCCTCTGGATGGCATCCCTTCCCTCCAGCACATTGACTGCACCACACACCTTGGTGTTGTCAGCAAACTTGCTGAGAATGCACTCGATCCCACTGGCCAGGTCACTGACAAAGATGTTAAACAGATGTTAAACATCTTAAGCTGTAGTTTGCTCGATCTTTGAGGATAGTCTGTTGGAATGATATACAAGTCTGGACTTGACACCAAGCCTGAGCCTGTGTTCAAAGGCAGTAGAGGAGTAGCCTTTGGTTTTTTGGTATCTCGCTGCAAAACAGGAGTCACAGAACTTTGTTTCCTCAGAGGGTTACTGTGAAGCAAAATGTATTATACCGTGGAGTGCTATTTATTGTGGCAACATGCCAATACCCAGATCTAAAGAGGGAGGGTGAACTTTTAGAAGATAGTGATCCCATCCTAGGTATTTACTATTTGGAATGAAGTAAGCCTTAACAAAACTAGGTGTATATGAAAGCAGTTGAAAGAATGTAATTTAAAAAGCAGTTCCTCCTAAGCTGCATGTTAGCATTAGTTCTACAGTAATCGACTAAATGCATTCTGCAGTAAACTGCTCTTTTGTGACATACAGAAACTGGAATGCACTTTTAAAAGTAAATATATTTTAGGCCTTAGATGTTAGAAAGGACATGAATACAACCACTAGATACTGTATTTTCAAACATAATTCTGCCCCTGGGTATCATTTGCATATGGCTATAGAAGTTCTTATCTAGTTAAAAAAAGAGGGAAGTTGATAAGTCATCAAGGAAGGAAATAGTGAGGTTTAAAACAGCCACAAATTTGTTTTTCTTCAGCTTATCATTTTGAAAACTCAAATGCTGTAATTCTGGATGAGCTGCCAGATTGTTTCCTTCATAATTCTGCCTTTCTCTTATCCATTCTTTAGAGATCAAAAACAAGCATATTAACTTCAGTCAGTGAACACGCAAATCAAACAAACACATTCCCCTAACTTCAGGCTCTGATTAATTCCACTGGTAGCCTTTGACCTTGATTTCCACAATGTCTTGCAGTGCATAAGGAAGCTTGAGCTTGTATCGGAAAACTGCAGAGATTTGGTTTGGAAAAAATAAACCACCTTCATCTCCATTACCAAAGTACTACACTAAAATCTATAAAACAAAGAGCTGAAATCTGAAGTTTAGGCCTTGGAGCCAGTTTCACAATCTGTTTCCTGTAGCCAGAGTTCACTTGCAGCCAGTGGAAAAAACAACTTCTAAAAGATAAAAGGCAGTGCTGTGGCTTTCTATCAATCTTACCATTCAGTATGTGAATACAGCTGTACCAAAGTCTAAACCAAAGCTCCAGTTCTAATTCTCTTTCACTTTATTGATCTTGGATATATGTAGCCATTATCAGAGACACCCAACAAGCACAAACTTATCACAGGAAAAATAAGATCTACCAACTTCTGAAGATCAAAATTTAGATAGAAATAAAGCAAAAATGCTCAACATGTCTATTCATAGGTAACTGGGAGACCATAATGAGTGATGACAGAATGGGACAGGAAGCTGAAGTGTAAAAAACAAAACAAAACAAAACAAAAAAAACCTCAACAACATAAAAAGTAGTGGTAGAATTATTTTCTTTGAACCCATCAATCATGATGGGTGGAGGCCTCGAGTGTTCAGAGAAGTCAAGACCCATATTTATTACAGGTAGTGATGATTTCGGCAGACACATTGTTCGTGAGGGTGCCAAAGGCCTGGAGGAAGCAGCTGTGTGAAGCAGTCCAGGTCTGTGCATGCTGCCAAACAATAGCAATGCAGTCTCCTTGCAGAAAGGATTTCATGGGAAAAAGAGACTGATCTTCTTGAAAGGCACAGGTAATGACAGAATGGCACTTATATTGCAAGCTTTAAAGGAACAGGGACAGGAAAAAAAAGGGATGTCAGATGAAGAAACCAGATTCTTTACAAACAGAACAGCTATTGATGGCCCAAGCTCTGTTCCTGGACTCAGAAGTGGCTTCTGTATCTTTCTGCGGCAGAAGAGTAGATTGTTCTGCATTTACCCTTAGTTTTGAGGTTTGAACTTTAGAGTGGTAAATGTGTACGCGAGGAAAAAAAAGTAATAACACAAGACACTATATAGGCCCAATGTCCTGTTCCTAATTTACTTCCAATTATTCTTTTGTCTTTCAGTATGCTCAAAATTTTAGTTTCACAGTTGCTTTAATGTGAGAACTGTAAACAGTTCTGCCCTTGTTTCCCTCTCCTTTTCTCTGCCAAGAGGTGAACTGCATCAAGGAACTGACTTGGCTGAAAATTAACCTTATCAAAAAAAAAAAAAAGCACCTTTTTTTCTCTTAAGTAAAAGCATGGGAAACAGTAATACCAGCCCATTTGGTGGCAGATTACACTTAATCATAGAATGGCTGAGGTAAGCAGGGACCCCTGGAGACTTTCTGGTCCGACCTCCCTGCTCAAGTAGGGCCACCTAGAGACAGCTGCCCAGGACCATGTCCAGATGGCTCTGGAAAATATCTAAGGATGGCGACTTCTCAACCTCTCCAGGCAACCTGTGCCAGCGCTTTGTCACTGTCACAGTAAAAAAGTATTTCCTGATGTTCAGAGGGAACATCCTCTGTTTCAGTTTGTGCTACACCTCTGACACTGTCACTGGGTACCACCGAGAACACCCTGGCTCTGTCCTCATTGCGCCTTCCCTCCAAGTACACATAAATGTATAGATATACACACGGATAAGATCTCCCAGATCTCCCCTTGAGCCATCTCTTCTCCAAGTTCATCAGCCCCTGCATCATTTGGATTAAACCCCTTCCCTTGCATTAACTTGGATAAAAACACTGCAGAACTGTTGCCCAGTTTAAATATTGCGGGGATGTTTTTCCCCCTGCCATTTCAAGTGACGATGGCTCCATGTTTCCTTAGCATCGACTGTTTTTCCCTTCCCTCTGACGAGTTTACTCAAGCTGTGTCCAAGGCTCCTGCTGAAGCGCGCCTCTCACACGCCTTCAGGGTCGCTTAAAACACATGCGTGCTTAAGCTTTTGCCGGTGCGAAGCTCTGAGGCAAACCTGATTCGGGGATTGCTTCACTCCCCGCTGCCGGCTGCCCTCTGCT